GTACGGAAGCACGGACGCACGGATACACAAGGGTCAAACATAAGTCCCGTTTTCGGACTGCGTCCGAACAGGAACTAATAATATCTACAAATAGATTTGTACGCATTGCTTAGTAGCAAATGATCACAGTAACGGTATCACGATCCGGCCGGTCATGCTGCGTTTCACAAGTGAATAACTTACTTGTTTTCGAAGTGTTACAATTGATGATTATTACTCAGTAGTGATTACAATAATGTACACAAAATAAATTTGTAGAATTGTTATGAAAATTCAACTTAGTTTCACCGCAAGCAAATGATTTTGGTCACATGTAAACACTCGATCCGATATGATATCCGCCATGTTTGTCCAAGCACACAAGTGACTTGAAACTGTTCTTTGACCTGATAGGTCAAGTCGCTAATTAACCAATCGAAATGCTGGATGGTGCCAACGTGTTCGAATTACCATACCTCATTTAAATATGTTAATGGTAGTTCAGCGACTTCATGGTGAATGCAACACGGAAGAGATTTACCATTGTTGTAGTGCGATCGTTTGGATTTGATTTTGATGGGAAAATAGCATGATTTTTTTTTTAATCAATAAATTAGTTGTTTTCGTTTTACGATGATAACTGCTCATTGTCGAAATGCAGTTTACCCATTCACGCTACCCACAATAAACACTGTACTCTTGAATAGGAAAACCTAAATTAGACTCTAATCTAGACATCAGGAAAGATTGAAATGTTCGAAAAATTATGCCTTAATTTAAAATTAAATGGTATATCTTTTTCTGAAATATGTGGTGGCTGTTTGGTTTGTGAAAGTTTGGGGTGCGGCTTATATTGCAGGCTTTTTCCTGGGATCAATTTCAACATGAAACAATGTCTCAAGTTAGGGGTGCGGCTTCTATTAAAGCTGCAACCCCAAATATGATTTTTACAGTAGTTCCCGAATAAGGCCATGGCAATATATATATGTGCTTACTATGGCGTTCACAGTTGTGTTTCTATTTTTCATTCATGATATACACCAATCAATAATTCCATCCAATGAGAGATTTCAGCACACACAATGTTTATTTTTGTTTACTTGATTAGGTTAATTTTATTTAATCTTGCTTGCTTTAATGGCCGTCTTCAATACAACTGATATGATCTTAGATGCTAACGTTGGAGCTCAAAGTCGGTGCTTCATTTTTGTTTTGAGGATCCGAACAGGTTTTTTGTATATCAAGGCATTGCCCCAAAAAATGTCATAAAAATATATATAAATGCCACTTACTTATTTTTTACTCTGTCTCTAAAGTCTCCAAGTTTCAATTGGTTAGCTCCCCACCAGCTCATCAGGAGTGGGTCTCCTTCATCTGAAACTGGTTTGAAAGGAACTGAATTTTCTCTCAGATAGTGTAAAACTGGAGTGCACAAGAGGAATCTTGGATCCAAGCTATCGGCATCTTGAAAGGTATGATTACAAAAATGTTCCATTGCAGCTACCAGATAACTGAAAGAAAACAGAATTTGTTAATAATTTTTTTTTACACATACCAATTTCCATACTCAACCCCTAGAACTATGAAAGTTCTCTTGCTAAAATGTTGGCGCATTATTTTTTATGCATTTTTTGATTATTTCGAAAAATCTAACATCATTAAGTGCATCCCATATGACGCTTTTGATACATTATTTTATTAGTAAGTTTTTCGCTGTTTGCAGATCTTGATGAATAATATCGAATCAAATGACCTGACAGTCAAAATAGCTTCGCTGTTTCAGCAGAGTACAGGCTTGCAATAATAAGTGCATACAAACATGTACTGGTAATTACATATTAAACACCAATCATAGTCAACAAACAAACAACCTACACTCTATTCACTGTAAAATACTTTATTTTAGCTGGAATTAATTTTTGGGTGTTTTGCTTGGAAATTATTTTCACTGACTTTTGATGAGTTGAAAGTAAAATGTCGGGAAAAAAAATTATATTCATGGATTTTATTTTTACTGAATCATATTCCTTCAAACGAAAATATTGAAAGTATTTTAAATTACAGTTATTTTTGTAAGTGTTTCCACTCTAATTGTGTTAAATATTACCACTGATACATGTTGTAAGGATAAGCTTAATAGTACCATAGGCAAGTTATGGTTTCAAAAACTTCAGTTAAAGAAAATGTCTGAATTAGTAGACTTAAGTCTAAGAGTTTCCCTTATGTGTGGAAATATTCTAGTCCACCAAAGGTACACAAATCAAACCGGAGCAGTTATCAGGAAGAAATCAAATAGCAATTTTGTCCCAAAATAACAAATTAAAATGTTTGCTAAAACTAGAAAATATTAGATAATGTCATGAAATGTATAAATCTAATAGAGGTTCACCCAAGGTACATATATACCAATCATCAAACTAATCGAAGTAGTAGTTTTCAACAAAAAGTTGAAAATAACATACAGGGGGTATGTAATGAATATAAATATCAATAAATAATAGTTTTCAAGAAGAAGTCGTTTAAAAAAAGGTTGATGCGGGATGCGATATGGTGATGGACAATCACCTATACTAACAAATTTAGCTGTCATCTTCTATGACAGTGGAGCTATAAATAGAGAATTGTCACAAAAAGATCAAATCCTATTGGCGCCACCCAAGGAACATTATTAACCAAGTATGAAAGCAACATAGTTAATAGTTTTCAATAGTCATTTGAAAAAAAACTTGAGACAGGGCATGAAGCGGATGATGGACAATCACATATACTAACAGCTCTGCCTGTTATATATTTGATGACAGAGGAGCTAGAAAAAACAAGTTCATACAAGATTATATGTGCACATGTACAATACATTTCAATGATGCTCTCTGCAACAGCATTTGTTAAAAAAAAAAAAATGGCCACTAGTCAGCCATTTTGAATCTGATCTGAAAAACAAAGTGACATGTATTAAGATCTTATGTTGTCCAATGGATATACCAATTTTGAAAGAAATCGGAGCATATACAACCAAGTACTGGATGTATTACGTATGTGTGAAGTTTGAACATGATGAGATCTTGCATACCTAAGCTACAGGTGTAGACTTCATCCAGATCGGGACTAATTTAACAGGTCTATGTGACCAAACTGACAATTTTAAATGGTGACAATAAACATGAATATCTATGCAGTGGTCAAAGCCAAAGTTTTCAAACTTAAAATGGGAGAAGACATGTATCAAAAGACACTCTAATACTGTAAGGGTAATTAGTAACCAATATAAATCTACCTTTTGTCCTCTTTCTGTGGGAAATGTTGATGCATTTCATCAATTGATGGTATCGTCTTCTTTTCCAAATCAGGTTGAATGAGTAGACCTTCAAATAAATCCCCGACTTGACAATATTTCAATTGTTGCATCATATCCAAATGACGCAAGAGATAGAGAACTGACAAAGCAGACACTAGGCGTCCATCGGTGACCTTTGTGGTCCTATATGACTTAAACACAGGTTCTAGATATTCTAACATAAACTGCAAATAAAGAAAAAAATGGTGAATATTTTAACTTTAACTGTACATAATTATCAGTACTTGTAATTTTCATTTAGTGCTAATGAACTAATCAATATAATGATGCCAGAATGACCAGTCCGTACATCTAACTTGATTTTCTGGCATACTAGTATATACATGTTCCAAAGAGTAAAACAGTAAGTATAATATATGATAGTATGTAAAATGACATGCATCACGGACCCATAATGTCTTATGTATGTACCAAGTTTGAACAAAATCCATCCATAAAAGACCAAAACCCAGTTCCACAATGCCAGAAATACTTTATTTTTGAGGATTTTTTAGCACAAAAATGGCCACCACTTGGCCGTTTAGAATCAGATAGTCAAACAAATATACATGACTGTATATCTATGACATGATCTTTAATGAATATATAAAATTTCGACGTAATCAGTCAAAGCATGGCAGAGATATGGCACTAAAATGGCATTCATTAAAACAAAATGGCCCCAGTCAGCCATTTTAAATCTGATATGAGAATCAAAATGACGTGCATCAAGGTCCCATAATGTCCAACGTATGCACCAAGTTTGAACAAAATCCATTAATAAATGCTTGATGTTAATGATTTTTCAGCACAAAAATGGACGCCATTCAATAATTTTGAAACAGAATGTGAAAAAAATTGATGTGCATATGTATAATATGATGTACGATGTAGTTTGAAGGTAATTTAGTTCAGGCATGTCTATATATATAGATATAGGTCCGGAATTCATGCACGCACAGACACATAGAGGTCAAACCATAAGTCCTTGTTTTCGGACTGCAGCCTCTTAATAGCAGAGCACATTTCACAAGCTATCTCAATCCCAGTATAAGAAAAAAGACCTGTATGCAGAGAGAATTGAAGGCATGAATTTGATGTGTAGGAGATATTTATAATAACAATCAAAATCTAAATCTATGAACATCGTTTAATTTGAGGGGACTGGTCATATTCCCAACATTCAACATTTGATAGTGTGTATATTGGTCAGTGCATATGGTAAGTAACAAATTTGCAAAATGGGAATGCAACTTTGAGCTCAATAATGGCTATTTAAATTCAAACCACAAAACGAGTACATAATCATAGTGTCTATGCTATATTCTATTGGAGTTGAGAAACACCAACACAGGCATACAACAACTTGATTTGATTTGATTTGAGTTCACTATGAAAAAGGTCTTCGGAAGGTGTGTATGTCCTCAGAAGTTGCTATTATCTTTATTTTTGTCCTCGCAACATATAGCAATCAAGTACACACACACACACACAACTATGTCTGGTGATGAAAGTGAACCAAATAAATACATACCCTTTTGGAATCAAACCCTGGGTTCCAGTTTTCATCAACAGACATGAAAACTTGTTTCACTTGTTGTATAGTATCCATTCCCAAATTCTTGTTCTTTTTCCCAATACTGAATTCCTCTAAAGTAGGCAGCATCTTTTTTGTGACAATAATCTTATTTTTCAATGCTTGTTTTCTAAACTTGTCCCATAACGTACTCTTGATCTTGTTCCACATGTCTGGTTTCGGGTAGATCACATCATCATATCGGTTCCAAATGCCTGAAAAAAATTTAACAAGAAAGCCATCAGAGATGGTTTATATTCTTCACCAATGTTTTGTCAATTACAGTTGTCTCAGAAATGTACCAAAACGTTATAGAGAGCTCAGTGGGTAGGAGTGTAGATTATGACAGTCACATGTGGGTTTGTTTATGGGACAAGAGAAGTATGTCCATCAAAAGGGGGATGTTGAATCTCGCATGTACGTTTTGTACAGACAGGAGTGCTCGAGTGCTTATAAAGGGTAGTTGTTGTGAGTGTTGAAATCTATCATTTTTGAGGAGTGAATGTATTAGTTGAGAACGGTGTCATCTTGCGGATGGCATGTGACTCACAGTGGAAGTGCATTGTAAAAGTTGAGGGATATAGTGAATTTCAAAGAGAGATATGAAGAAGTTTACATCTTTACAGCTGGTATTTGTCAATTTTGGAAACAATGAATTAGCTGAATGCGGGTTTATTGGCAATAAGTTTGAAATGGAAGGGCAACTCAGTTTCTTGGCATGCATCTATTTCTTAGAGAACTACGTTGTGTTGTCAAAAGAGAAAAACAACCTCCACTGTCAGTCTCATAAGATCACTATCTCTATCACAACATTACTCAGTGTTGTCTCATCAGTGGAGATGTCTTTACCGGTAAATAATATCCTATATGGGCTTAGTGATTATTCCACTGAGTTTATGGGGTAACTTTGCAATTCAATATACTCTGACTACTGACTGAGGTGGCAAATAAAACGTTCTCATCGAAAGCATGAATATTTATGCTATTTTGATCTGGTAAACAAAATACAAAATACACTCAACATTTTGTGTAACAGTAAAATGCAAACAAGCAGCAACAATCAAATGTAAAGTGATCCAATAGTTAAGGCCAGACAAGACAGTATTTTTGTAAAAAATAATAATTAATTCTAACTCAGTAACTAAGTACTAGTGAGAATAGTTTTACTAGCGAAGATTGCTGACAAACTGACTAAAAGTGAGATTTTATATTCACAATTCATAGTCATAGCCTTGTTTTAATTTTACCAGTGAATCATGATTCATTCTGCACATGAGTATTTTGTACCTTTGACTGACATAATGTATTGCTCAATATTTTAATTCGCAGCCAAATGACATAATTGCAATTCTTAGCAGTCACCACTACATAGTCCTGCTCAATAACATTTCTAAAATTCTAACCTAGCACATGGCAACGGCCTAAGCAATAACAACTTGTCAATTTCACTGCCACGATTACCAAATTTTTACTAGCTTTATTACCAATTACCTCAATAAATAACAATGGTCACACTTATTACTGTGTTCAGCTCTAATTACTTTGCAGCCAATTAACATCTAATTAATCTCTGTTGCCATAACACAAAAGGAACATGTATACATAAATAGGTTAATTACATGTACGATATAAATTACCTATACATGGATTAGAACCAAAACTGGAGTTCATTATAAAATATCTTTGTACCAAATTGCATTCAAATCCAGCCAGTGATTCTTGAGTTATTAATGGAACAAAATTGAACAACACATACAAGACTGTATAATATTACATTTATTAGCCTCCACATATGGGATTATTTTTTGACAGTCTCCTATGTTTTATTTTTTGTCATGTCTTAATTTAGGCAAATAAAATCCAAATGTGTTGAAAGCAGTGGGCAACTTTGACTCTTAATTCAGGCCAATATCATCACCAAAGTTCTAAGGATATGATGGTTCCCTGGAGAAAACAGGCCTTTCTAAAAATAAATTAATAAATTTAAAGACTTTTCAAAGATTTTTTTTATTTTTCCAGTAATTTAAAGACAACTCAAAGACTTTCCAAACCTCAAAAAATCCAAAGATTTTCCCAACGCAATGGACCCTGACCTAAGTAATTATTCTTACCTGTATGAGATTAAAATGTCGACATATACCGTATAAGCTGAACATTTTCTGATACTTACCTCCAGGTACATAGTAGTCTTTTTGTATTTTCATCCATCTATTCTTGTAAGGTGAATCATCAGGAATGAACTCCCAATTATATAATCCTTTCTTTAAAACTACATATTTATAATCCATATCTATATATTTGAGATGCCTAGGTGGAGTGATTAAAGAACCCATAACCTGAATCAAACCATTCACTTCAACACTGTCCGAACAGAAAAATTAAAATGTTACCAATACTCAGACAAACGATTTTCAACATACCCTTTCCACAGTTCCCACTGCAAGAACATGTGTGCAGACTATCTTTCACCTCAGTGGATATAGTACATGAAACAATAAATAATGGGCTACATCAGCTGCAGCATAAAACACATAACTGCATCACACCAATTACCAAATATCCCATCTACAATGGTCACTGAAGTATTTTGGAAAGTGTATTGCAATGCTGCAAAGATCCTCAATTAGCTAGGGTATACAAGAGAGTTAGGTATATGCAATTACATGGAAGTTGCAGCCATAGTCAGCAAAAAAATCTATGCAGCGGCCAATTTAGGCTTGGATATTAGGCTGCAGATTCCGATATTTCTCTCAATGAAAATGTATAGCACATGATTTTGAATACCATTGAC